TACGTATATATATATATATATATATATACACATGCATGCGCGCGAGTGTTGCAATGCTCAAACTAGTTTCTGTCACGAGCTATTTGCAAACAAACGCGCCCACCTTTAGTGCAATCACGTGCGCGTTTACAGTTAAAGTGGACGGATTAATGACCATTTGTTGGAATAAAGCCAGATTCGTCGCTTTCGAAACAATTTTTATCCCTCCCTCCACAATGATTGATAAGTCAATTCACTGCTACCCGTGACCTTTTCGATGATAAGCATGTTATTCCCAACCTCGTATCTAAATCACCATGAAATGAAATTGAAATTTTATCTCATTTAAAAATGTTGTTCCAAGCCAAAAGTAAGAACGAATTTAAAAATGTACCAAAAGTAATTTACTTTGGAGCAAAATTTCATTTTCACAATCATTAGGATATTATTCTTTAAAAAAATCGACTCACCTAATGAAAAGTATTTCATCATCGCAAAACATTCCAAGAGCACCCAGATCTCCAGTAATAAAAAAATTCAAGTACAAGCTCCTTTACCAACATGAACCGAGTAAGAAAAAAAAAATAAAAGGGTTAACAGCACGCATCGACGGTATAGTTACCAAGACCCTGTAGACCGAGACCAAATTCTCGCAGCCCGGCCTGTGCCACTCCCAATTCGGGTAGGGCGTGAGCAAGGGGCCCCCAGGCCCGTACTGACTGGTCAGCGTCGACAGGGTAACCGGCACCCCGGACAGCCATTGTGGACTAGTGACAAAGATCCGTCCCCTCCTGTCTATGTCCACGTCCTGCGACAGCGGGTTACCGAGCGTGAAGTTCTTGCCGGTCAGCTGGGCGCTCGGGTACACCCAGTCGAGGTACTTCCACTGGTGGACCACCTCAAGGCCCCGGACGATGACCTGTCGGCTCGGCGGTCCCAGGGGCAGGCCTGCTCTCGGGAAAGTATCCTCGAACACGATCCCATCGTTGCCCAGTTGGGGGCTCTGGTCGCTCCTGACGCTACCGGAGATTCTCGGCACCACGGGGTTCTGGAGCACGGGGCCGGCGTAATGGTTCACGCCAGCTACCTTAGGCAGGGGTGGCAGGATATTGACGTAGCGATTGTCAACGTAGCTGTTGATCACAGGGAGGGGCAGTGGCGAGCTGACCCCGGGAATGGGTGAATATGGGGGCAACAGCGGGGAGTAAGCTGGCAGCGAGGAGCCCACACCACTGGACACCTGCTGGTGCTGGTTGTTGACGTTAACACCGTACCGATTGGCACACTCCTCGCGTGTTATCAACTGGGGGTTGATCTGGGACTGAAGTGGCACTTGAGACAGAGGTATGGAGTTGTCGTCGATCGCGGTCTTCGGAGGATGGTAGCAGACCGTCAGGTCGACCGCGAGGAACAAAGTTGCCAAAAGGACTAGTGATGACCTCATGGTTTCAGCTTGGATTTTTCCACTTTGGTTCCACCACGCAATTTTTTTTTTTTTTTTGGTACTTTGAGTCGCTATTTATCGAGATGATTCGATATGATTGTCATTTGATCAAGGATTACAATTACCAACCCCGATACACTGGAAAGTAAACCTTTAAAGATTCGATATGTGAAGTTCAACTTCACGTGCCCCAAACTGACCGATTCTACTACCCGTATGGGAATTAGCGTTTTCCAAAACTTATTTATCATGTATTATGATTTGTCGAATGAGTTGTAAAATGCGTTGTGGACGTAAAACTAAATGCCCTCGTGCCACTTGTAAAGCCGCGCTCGCTAACGACAGCACCGGCGCACTACGATTGCGAGCGGGCAACACACTGAGGCGCCTGCCAAGTCTTCCGATCGGTTTGAACGAGCTGCGATTTTCCAGCAGCAGCGGTGGCCACTTGCACGTCCCACGGCGAGTGGGAGGCGGTGCTATAGGGAGAAAAGTTACCAGTCGCCAATCTTGTCCTTGCGGGCACTTGCCGTGAAATATTCGCACGCGCCGATCGGTCATTAGTTATGCCTCGTTTGATGCACGCCCTTGGGTGGATGAAGTGTTGGGACGCAACTTTTTTTTGTTTGTTTTCAATCTAATCAAGTCATTGATATCTTACTCGGTTTCACGGCGAAGCTAATAAACGATACACTATTGCAGAATCGTACGATGCTGTGCTCGCAGTGAATTTTTTTCCTCCAGTAATTTGGTGTGAAATAAAGTTGAACCATATCAGTAACAACTTTTTTGCCTTGCACCTCTTTTGGCAGTAGATATTAATTATCATATTGCGTGTTATATGACTGCGTGCATCGTTATAGATATCGGACTTTCCTTAAAAATGATTAATATGGTAAAACGTTGATACGTCGATTTTCGATGAACCATTTTTCAATAATCTCAGTTTTGACGCACTGTTTTTTTTTCTCTCTTCTCCTTTCACCATCCATTCGATAAAATGTGTGCGAATACCGAAATAAAAACTATAGACCCAACGAGGCCATTGCATCGATTATCAAATCGGTCATATTATATACCTACAAGCGCATGTTCATTGCAGAAAAAAAAAACTAACTAACACGAAAAAATCAGAGCGTGAACAGATACTTTCATTCGGTCGCACGCGTTAGTGAACGAGTGAATCATACATAATACCTAGGGCTGTTTTTTAAGTAAACATCGATCATTGCTGTTTAGTCCGTGGTTTCTAATGAAAAATTCACAGTTCATTATTGAAGCGCTCAAAAAGGCTGATTCTTATGATGAATAGTAATTAATTTAGTTGGAATCAATTGTGCATTATACATTTGCGCTGTTGTAAATGCAAAACATACATGCAGAATGACATGAAAATCAAATTTAAAGTATAATCGATGCTTTTTGGGGGAAAAAATTGCATAATATGTCGTCGTGGCCTTGGATGAAGTCACTGAACCTGTTCAGCAGTGTATTACTAAAGTTTAAAGCACACATTAATAAACATTTTATTGTGAGTACCTTTTCAAACAATCAATCGTGTGATGATGAAACTGTACCTATTAAATTCAGTGTATAAGGAGATCGTAAATTAAGAAGAAGTGAATTAGTTTTAATAAAAATCAATGGTAAATTGGTTGAATAATTTACTCTACGAGAAAAATTTGTTAAATATTTTGTTTTTGACGAAACTTAGGGAAAAAATGAACATAGTAATTTCTGAAAATAAAAATATATGTATGACCCCCATGACAAATTTTTTTTTTGAAATTGGATTGAAATTTTCACTAAGTAATTTTGAAAAAATATGTAGATTAACAGCGTCAAAAGCAATAAAGATTAATTAAATTGTGATTTTCGACCATGTTAGATAAAGCATTAACACAGTGAAGAAAATTTATTCTATAGTACAATATATTGACAACACTTTTAAGTAATACAAGTCAGAGTTTTAATATATCTTGGCAAGAATGGCTAAAAATTTATGTCAGGTTTATTTTGAAAAAAAATTTCAACAGCTATCATATGCAGAATTAAATATTCATAAAGATAACATGACGAAATTTTTTTGCATTTTTTGCTATATATATTCCAAATCAATTATACATAAATTACTAAGCTATAAGTTATCCAGTCGCTTTCTGAAGTCAATGTGTTAAGTATCAGTTATATACAAACACAGTCAAGAAATGTTCTTATTTCACTCAGAATTACAGTATTATGATTCTATTGAAGTTGGGAAGCAAAATTCACTGAGTCAGTTGTGTATTACATCAATCACATTTATTTATAAGTAAGTCTATTGGCATGAGTTTTCAATGTTGTTTATTCACTTGTTTTATTAAGATGAAAATTTTTTGAGACATCAACACAGTGTATGAAAATCTCAACTCTCACTAAAGTTGTATTATTTATAATATATATAAAAACATGCACCTACTCAACCAGAGTTAATTTCTTCATAAATATTTCCCTTTGCAAACTGGACTTACATAAATATAAAAAATATTTGAGCTAATCTCTCTTATAAATAAGTATCAAGGATACCACTATATATTATTCTTTGATTGCTCTATTCGCAATTATTTGAGTGGAATTCCCACTGATATTTCCTAACAAAGCTCTTCTGACACATGAAGCACTCAAATGTTTTTTCCTCGCTCTCATTGGTTACCATGTGTTTCGTAAAATTGGTTACATCTTGGTTGAAACTTCTCGAAGTTGTTATGTCGCAGGGCATCCCACAAACGTAAGTAAACTCGTAGTTCCTGAATTTTTTTGAACATGTAGAGTAACTTAAATTACCAATCATGTGATTTCGCTCGTGCTTCCTTAGATTACTGGAGTCAGAAAAATCTCTTTGGCATACCAAGCAGTTATAAGATTTTTCGCGCGTATGGATGAGTTCGTGTCTTTTGAGAAAACTGTCATGAACAAAATTTTTCTGACACACCGAGCAGCTGAAAGGCCTCTCACCTGTGTGGGTTAGCTCATGTCTCATGAGAGAATTTTTATAGCCAAAGGCTTGTGGACACTTTGTACAAAGGTAGGGCTTTTCACCGGTGTGAGTGCGCATATGCGACGCAATATTAAATTTTTGGCTAAATTTTTTACAACAAACTGTACACTGAAAGGGCTTTTCGCCCGTATGGACTCGCATGTGCTCCACAAGTTTACTTAAGTGAGCGAAAGGTTTTTTGCATACTTTACAAAGATGAAATTGGTCAGTCCTCTTATCATCGAAATTCTGATGTTGCTGCTGCTTGCTATGGTTGTCCATATTCGTGGCTTAGTTTTATTGGAAATTACAAAACAGTTATGATGTGATTTGCTTTTTGTGTTTGTCCGATCCTTCGTTGTGGTCTTCGTGATGCCTTTCACAACTAAAAGTAAAGTTGTTCGTTAAAGAATGACAATGATTTAACATTTCCGTTAGTTAAACACAGAATATGGTGTTAGCTGTTCACCGAGAACTTGGCATTGAGGACGTTCTTTGCAAAGACTAAAATGACATTGATTTATAAAAGAAGTAATTTTTATTTTGCCAGAAGATAATATTTTAATGATTAGTAATTGTTTTAGCTTTTGTCATACATAATTAAAAACAAACTTGTTTCAAGTTATTTCACCCAAAGGTTAGATTTTTAAATGTAAGCCATAAACATACATTAGCTACCTAAACCTTCTGTAACCTCCTGGACAAGTAATAAGATTAAGAAACTGTATGTACTAAACACGTTATGCTGTAAAGAGCAATTAAGTACACAAGACACCATTTTTGTTCCTAATTTTTTTTTTCATAAGCTTCGATGATAGGGATAATTTGTTGGAATGAAGAATCTTTCACTAGATAATTTTTTGCATCTTAAACAGATTAGTAGTTAATGACTTGTAAAAAATCACACAATTTTTTCACTTTTACACAAAAATATGCAAAGAGCAGACCAAAACACGTGACATGGCCAATCGCGGCTCGAAGCTTTCATGTTACATGGTTTCTGAATTTTTTCTGAAGTACAATAGGATAGAAATTCGATGTGTATCTACTCAGAGTATGATTTCGTACTATAGTATTGAAAAATTGATGGTAAAAGAGTCTTTTGTTCAAGTAAGTTTTGAAACTACTTAGCTTTGAAACCAACATACTAATGAAAGAAAAATTTATCCAGGCCCAGTAGAACCAACAAACAATACATGTGTGTTTTCTATTGTAATCTCCGAACGATTATTTAAAAAAACTTTGTACATGTAAAATGTATTGTAACTTACACATACAATCAGATTTTCTATCTAAAAAGACTGATTGCCACATGATTGTACCTTTTTTTATTCGTTATGTGGTATAAATTTACCTTACAGATTTAACAAATGTCACGTTGGGTGTTTTCAAGCTCCTGCCAAGCGAAATTAGTTATATCTTGTCTTGATGAGGTTAAGAGGTTTATTCTAACTATATTTTCTTATACGGTTACGGTAGGTATTTAGTACGATGTACACCTTGTGGCACAAACTTTGACAATGAATTTTCGATAGATACGTTTGAAAGATAGAGATGCTTTTCAAGTGCATTACTTTTAATTATAAACAGCAGTCGAAGAAATTTCGGTAATGTCATTATAATTGACGTTTTTTCATATTTATCGATTCATATTATCAATGGTTAACTTTTTCCAAGTCTAATACTTTATCAGTGGCTAACTAAACAATAGATAAGCAGATTGGGTATATCTATGCAGATATTTACGAAGTTTTTGCCTATGCGAGTTAGTCATTAATGATGCATTATACTTTGAAAAAAATTCAAATTCTGTTTTTATCAAGTCATTAACTTTCAACTTTCGTGAGGCATGTACTTATGACGGATTATACTCAAGAAATTCTGTTTTTATCAAGTCGTTAACTGAAAAGGTTGAAATGACGTGTAATTCGAAATTGTAACTTTTCTTGAAAACTACCCTCCCCAAGTAAACATTTTTCACATGTACAATAATAAACATATTTAATGGTGAAGATCATGGATTGATTGATATTGAAAATGTAAAAAACAAACTACAGAAAAAAAATGTACATGATCAAATATTATTAAAAAATTCCGTTTCACATCGTTGAAGTTGTACTTAGCTTTCATAGTTTTATTAATTTAATTCAAATCTCGATTCTTTTGAAACTTTTATTTTTATTTTTTATTTTAGTGCGTTGACTACTATTCGAGGTATTTTTATTCACTACATATATGTATGTATAAAACTGTGAAAATTTGTTGAAAATTTTCATCAAACATAATAATTTAGTTGTATTTTTTCGCATTCAAATTGCAGATACACTATATCACGATGATTGTAATCATCGTATGCTTTTCATACAAGTACACGATAGTATTTGCTATATGATTCTGCCCTCGTTGTCATTGGTTTCTTGAATAAAATCTGATAGAGAAAAATAGTTGCAGTGACTTTCGTTGGTAGTAAAGTTGTTCAAGTATTTTAAGACCGATACAATAGTTTCTTTCGGATTGGTGTATCTTGGTGTTAAGGAAGACCTAAGTCTTCGGACTACCGGTCCTTCTACCATCCTGGTGATTGGGCAATTGGATTTCAACAGCTTGAGATTTCGATTTCGCACCAGATCATAGCCACGTTAGAGAGCATTTTTTCGTCATTCCAGAAAATCAAAATAAAAATCATCCCAAAACAATCGGTGTGTAGGATACATTTCTCGTTGATCGCCAACCAGAGCTTTATGTATGACTGTGGTTACAGAAGCTTCTACTGTGCAGTTCACGAGTTTCGCAGCTACTATTATAATTTATTCATTGTGGTACAGCATATAATTCATTAATTACGCTCGAAAGGGCTAATCTCGATACGCAATAATTTTACTGCACATGAATATTAATAGGGTGAGTAATAAATGTGGTTTTTTTTTGTTTTGGGTTGCTAATATCATTGTGTTCTACAGTAGTTGTAATAAATGCAATGGAGTAAATATATTGTGAAATAATAATAATAATAATAGTTGTTTACATTAACATTTATTGATAAAACTTACGTAAGAACGACTACGTTAAAATATTGCAAAATGTCCGTGACTCACCTGAAACATACAATAAATTCTATAATTAATTATGTTGTACTTGCAAAATTTTACAAAAAACAAAATATTTATTGCTATAATTATTTAAACTAGATAAAAAGCAAGTTGATTCACGAAAGTTCTCAGTTTGTTTCACAATCAGGTGAAATAATTAAAATAATTTTAAGATAAAATTTAAAGAATGTCATCCATCAGACCATTTTATTTTTGATGAAATAACCAATGTGTGTTGTATAAGTATTTCAATTTCAATTGACAACAAAGTTATTACAACAGCAGGTACACGTTGAATAATATTCGATAAAAAGAAAGAAAAAAAGCACGGATGGAGAATGCCGAAAAAATCGAAAAATACATCAGGACACAATTAATCGGAGCCAAAAAAGGGGGGACCCAGTCACTAGAATAATTCATTGCTCGATGAGTGAAAAAAAAAAAATAAAAACTTCACACAGCAGTTGTAACAGGAAAAAAAAGAGAGGAAAAATATCGAAAGCCAAAATAAAATAAATGCACGAGGGAGAAAAGTGAACAGGTGCAGCAGGCTGTTTGCGTTGGGCAATATTTTCGGTGATTCGGGGCTTGTAAAATCGAAATGCCGTATTACTCCCTTCTCTGTGCAGATTATACGCGATTTATTTGTGTTTTACATGACTTTTCCTCTTTCCGTTTAGTTTTTACTGGCAGTAAAATCTGTGCATCCAACCGGTTTATCGTAATACGACGTGTACACGCTATGAGTTTTGAAATAAACGTTTTTTCTTGTTTTTTTTTTTCAGACGTACGTACTTTTTGGATTACTTAAAATACAGGTGATGACGTATTGTCAAAACAAATTTCTTATCAAAATAAAGTTGCGTTTTTTTCATGTTGTAAATAACAAAATATTAATTTCTTAGCTATCTTACGTTTTTTGATTTCTTACTAAAATTGTGGTATATTTATAAAGGCATCTGAAGGTAATTTCCAGTATAAAAAAATTTTTATGAAAAGACTTTTCTCAGAGAATGTTCTTACAATAAATGACAGTATAATAAAGTACTTCTTATTTAATTTCATATCCAAAAATAGAAAAACGTAGCTTTTAAATACAGATCTAGTAAGACAGCCAGTCTTAACCTTACTCGTCTGTTTCTACTTAACCTTGCGCACAACAGCATTTTGCCGATTAAAATGCAGGCGCTTGTCACAATATTCTTAGTTTATGCTCAAAATCATTGTCGAATCATATCCAGGATGAGATACGTCGAATTGAAAATATTTATGCCAGCCTTTGCAAAATTTTGAAATAGAAATGACATTACTGCAGTAATTTAAACTCAACTCATAACTCTCTTCTCTGCCAGACTTTCTCATAAAATACCAAAGAAAAACTTTACTTTTACATTCAATCACGTGATCACGTCAATGTTAAGGCAATCCATGTTTACATGAACGTAACATTGTGACACGAACAAGAAAAAAAAAAATAATAAATTTAAAAAAAAAAACAAAATAAAAAGCAAAAAACCCTGCAGCACTTATAGCTCGGCTGATGATGCGTCACGTAATTACAGCCGGGTGCGGCCATCTGTTCATGCGGAAATTGCCCACGTAGGGTTTGGCCGTATCATACCGACGCCCTCGCTCCCACAGCTTGTATTTTCACAAATCGCTTCAGCTTCCCCAACAACATCGGGCTTTTGTATACCCCGCGACATTTTTAGTTTTGCCAGCACGCGTTTTTTCGACCGCCTACGCGCCAGGAATAATTAGTCAGAGGAGGGGTGGTCCGAATATCATTGGCTCGCCTCTGGCTGCGCGTGTTCGTGCACTCGCATTTCTTTTTTTCCTGGCCTCATAACGAATGGCTGTTTTTTTTTTTTTTTTTTTTCGTTTTTAATGAAATTTTCGTACGTGCATTTGTAAACCTACGCGTCCGCAGCTGCGCGAATGGCTCCCCGGAATAAAAATATACGAATGTGAACGCTCGCTTGGTTTACATTTTTTTACCATCGAGCTGCACTCTTTCGTGTATTTTCACTGGGAAAACGGGCAGAATACACATACACACCGTAAAATTATTATGTGGAAATACACACCGTTGAATTATTTTTCTGCGCGCACAGCACGTTCGGACGCGTACGTGGTAAAAGAAAAAAAAGAGCCTGATTTTCATTAAAGAGACATCGCACAATGCGCCCGTACCTGTACAGAGAAGCGAGGAGGGGGACACCTCCTTCTCACGCTCGCGATCTCAGGATCGATAATTCCCCGCGAAAGAGAAGACACGTGGCGTACACTCTTTGCTTTTGATTTCCGGCGTACAGGTTCCCACAATTATTACATTTATGCATGTAATAATAGGCGCACTGATGGAGCCAGTTGTAGCTCTACTCTCTGTATACATATATACACACACACATATATATATATATATATATATATATATGTGTGTGTGTATATATGTATACAGAGAGTAGAGCTACNTTCTACACTTCAAATGATACGAATCATGCAAAGACCTTATAATTCTGTAAAAAATTTATGCTTTAATGCTTTGGTAACGTAAAATTAAAATGATAATAATAATAAAAGACAAAGCTTCAAGATGAAAGAAAAACGAGATGAAAAACTCAAGCCCCTCACCATAAAAACGGATCAAAAAACCGATCCAAAGATGTGATTGACATGCACATCTATTCCAATAAACGCATCATTATCACTACAAAACACCCTCCTAACGCATACTAAAAAAACAAAAAATTTATTTTTCCTTCCTACATCCATATTTCCTTGAACTTCCAACGAGTAAAAACACCTCCCTCTCACGTATACTTCAAACATCACGTATAGGAACCTACACGCACAAACGTTCACTTACGGAAGTGAACGGTATACCACCCATGTACACATGCGCGAATTCCTTTCTTCGTTTTTACCGATAATCTCCCGTGGCCCCGCGATTACGCAACCAAAAATTCATATATACACGCCCCGGCGTATTCATATATGCGCGTGCCACCTATTTTATGAAATTGCGCAACATCGCGCATAACGAAAGGTGTACAGCTCGAAACGGCGAGTTGGCTCTACTTGGCCAGAGGATGTGTCTCCCCTTTAACGAGTAAAAGTTGCGCGACTACTTGAATTTCGTTGCCTCGACCGCAGTACCAACGCGTATATGGTAATTAACGATTGTGACAATGTATATTACCTCTTGGCGTAAAATCCTCGGGGTGACAGTGACATACCGAGGGTGCCGTCGTTCACACTGAAGCTTTCCCCGGCGATGGTCAAGGTGCCTGCGTCGGGATCGTCGCCAAAGGCATTTCCCGGCGTGTTGTCGAGCCTCCAGGAGCGGTTCTCCCTCATGCTGTAGACGAGCAAGCCGTGCTTGATCACGTCGGCCACGTAGACGAAGGTGTCGTTGCAGGTGTCACCAATCTCGACCACGGGGTTCACGTAGGAGGCTCTGCGCGCGACAGTCTGGCTCTCGGGGATCTGGTAGACCAGGATCGGCTTGTCGGTGCTCAGGTCGAACGCGACGATTTTCATCGGGCAGATGGACTGGCCGGTCGCGCTACCCGTGTCCACCATCCATAGGCGGTTGCACTCGTCGATCTTTTTTTATTTTAGATGAAAATGTTTTCGTTTTTGTTTCAAATGAGTTGGGAGATTTTTCGGGGTGGTACGTATTAGGTAAAGAATTTGTTTTCGAAGCGAAAGTCGATTGGTTTTACATAGACCGGAGTGCATCTCGTAAACAGATGTGTTTTTTTTTCCAACCCAAGAATTTTTGATGGGCTGAACAATTGTAAGGTTAATTTTGTAGGTAAAACATTATGGTGCTGGTTTACACAGTATTTAACGAATGAAAAAAAAATAGATCGAAAATGAGTGAGTGAAAGTAATTACCTTACAATCATAGCAACCTTACAATAATATCATGTCAAAACGATGGCAATAAATAATTAACGCAGTACTAATTTAACGATCATTATAACTCACTGATGTTTTGTGCTTAGTGGAATCAGAATATAGTATATAAAGACAATACCGAATGAAATACAAAATAAAAATAAATAGTCTAAGATTCAAACACAATAACTGTTTTATGATTGTTACAAATTTTCAACAGTTTATAATCGAGATAAAATGTGTTAAAATGATAAATAATTAATCAAAAATATTAACACACAATTCATAAATATTGTTTTCTTAAGCATAATGCTAATTTATAAATTATTGTCGTTTAATATTTTATTTAATGTTTTAAAATTAAATTGCAAAAATAAAAAAACACAGAAAGAACATAAAAGTTATTTAATATCCGTTATTGTGTAATGACTGTTTAAGTGTACTTAAGTAATAATACAATGTGCTAAAATAATATTGAATGAAAATAATAACCTGCAAGACCTGCAAGACCTGCAGATTTACAAAAAAACCAATAGCAAGCCCTTTTAAGAGTTAAACATCGATATCGGAGCAAAAATAATTGAAAATTATATAAGAGTATTTAAGGGTAACTCTTGGATTACACAACCGGGAGTGGATATGTAAATGAACGTCAAGATATTTAAAGTTTTTGTGCATGACTTGACGCTCGCTGCCGTTCAGTTAAACCTGACATGCCGGCATTGGATTTTTTGCTCCACATTTTTTTCCCGCATATATATATATA